TTTTTTTTCATTTAAATTTCCGTCGGCATGTTGGCTTGCTTTTTGTTATTGCCGCGTTTCTTCCGGCCTGGCGTTTACATCCTCGTCAACCTTGAAGTGAACTGGCCTCGAACATTTTAATTCACGGTTGCTCGTCCACGCTCTTATTTGTGACTACCAGCAAAGAACTAGCCTCCGAGCCCGATATGATGACTCAGAAACCTTGTAGTCTGCAGCCCTGCGTTCTGTTCACCTGGATCTTTCCTTCGGTGTTATGAAGGGTGCTCAATACAATCGTCGACAACATTTCCTACATGGTTGTCTTAACTAGCGCAGACCATTCCGAGTGTTTGGGCACTTCCACTCCCTGTCCATCACCCTAATCTGATAGACGTTTGGATGTGTTATATGGCGTTGTTCTTGACAGGCTTTCTCGCCGCAGCGTCAACAAACCAAACGCAACGTCAAGACCACAAATGTATCCGCCTGGTTGCGCTCGGGAGTCACGATGATGCTTCGCTCAGGCTTTTGCATCTTACTGGCCTGTGTCGATCAGTACCGACACTGGTTTAGAGTTCACGACACCATAAATCAGTAGTGTATATATTGTAGGGTTGTTTCAGTCCCCAGCGCTTGCTCAGTCAGCATTCTACTCCCGAAGGCCCTTGGGCTCAGCATACCCCCCAGGCCCGATTTAATTCCCTTTTACGGTTTTAGGCGTGTCCACTAACCGGAGAATTGTGGTCGTGAACTAAATCTCCGAGCCATAACTCGCAGTCTGTTTTTACCCCACCATCGTTACAACAAACCTCCTCTTTTCTGCTTAACCCTGTGACTAAGGTCACGGACGCTGCAGTAGTCAGCAGAAAATTCTTCGTGCGAGTTTTTTTGTCCCTCCCCCTCCGCCCTTAACGTTGGTCGGTCACACCTAGGTTGACAAAATATTCAGTCGTCCCTGCCCTTTCGCCAGCCAATAGGCAGACATTGCTTGTTGCATTGGCTCATAGGGCTGCACCTCAATCTTCTCTGCTTTCAGTCGCAAGTCTAGTTTGCTGCCAGGGGTGGATTAGGTTTCTTCTAACGAATTTCCATTATGTTGGCATAGTCTGGGCACCTTGCGATCACGTTTTGCTCTGCCTGGACGCTGTCTTATCCGTGGAGCAGTATGAACAGAGCCACTCTACGGGGCTGTTTGTCTTAGATGGTTTTTTGTACAGGCTACTTCCTATGTATACGCTTTCTAACGGTGTCCGCGCTGATTCGACCATTCCGGCAGTGCACGTTGACCCCATCTGAAATAGCTAATTCCATAAAGCGTAGACTGTGAGATCGGATGCAATTTTGAAGTTAAATCAAGCTATCTCC